TCTTCCTCCCCAGGTAGAGCCCCCCCTTCCATCCTCAGCCCCAAGCTCAAGGTGTTCCAGAAGAATTTCCTTCAGCTCAGAATTCATGTGAGTCAGTCTGATTAAGAGATGTGGACACTATTTCTGAGACATGGCAGTTCTCTATTTAAAGGTTTCTCATGATTGGTTCAAGAACAATCAGGTAATCTCCTTTTATCCTGAAGTCAGCTGTGTCACATAACCTAAGCTGATCATGTAAGGAAAATCACCGACCTGTCTACACTGTCAGTCATGTGTACAAGGGGAGGAAGTCTCAGTCTTTGTGGTATTCTGCCTGAATACATACTGCTTGGGTTTACCAGTGCTCGTGTGTTTCTGTGATGGGATGTGTGTGTGGTGCAAGTATTTACTTGTGTGCTGCTCTGGCCTCTGCATTTAAGCACACAGCTACACATACCTGCACCACACATACATCACCTCCTGACGTACCACCACCCAACACAGAGTAGTGTTCTCTACCCTATTGCCTTAACACAAGCTTTTTCACCATCTGAGCTGGGCCAGATGATTACTGCCCAGCCAGTAACCTCTTATATTCTCTACTCCTCAATGTTACAGTTACCAACATGCACAGCTACACTCAACTTTTTGTGTGGGGATGTGGGGATTTGAGTTTGGCTCCTTATGCTTGCAGAGCAAGCAATTACTCTTACCCACTAAGCCATTTTTCCAGCCCCATGAGTGTATTTTTTTTAACAAAAACTAATATCCCATGAGTGTATTTTTAACAAAGACTAATATATACATATATATGCATATGTATGTATATATATGCATATATATGTATATATATTCTACAAATAGTACATATAGTCTACAAATAAGAGACAGAATTGATAGTGTTCTTAATACCCTATTGAGAAAAACCAAACTGACAGCCCCAGGGTAGTAATTCTACAATTGTAATTTTGTTTGTTTGCTATATGCCTCACTAATTGCTGATATCATCAAGGCAGGGATTTCTATATTTGTATTATAAACATGTGTCAAATAGATGACATATCATGTTCAAAATAAGATGAGCTATATCATTAAACTGCAACCAGTTATACTCTAACTAGCTTAAATTAAAGGAAAGCAGGACTGGCGTGTAGCTCAGTTGGTAAAGTGCTTGCCTAGCATACACAAAGCCCTGGGTTCTATTCCCAGTGGTGGAAGACTGTAATCCCCACATCCGGTGGGCGGCACCAGGGCCATTCTAAACTTGTGAGTTTAAGACCATCCTGAAGATATTTGAGACTCTGTCTTGGGAGGAAAAAAAGAAAAAAAGAAAGAAAAAATCCACGGGGGAAGACCTGGTTAGGAGATTATAGAGACAGCTTGTTGATTATCAAAAGGAACCATTAAGACTTCTGAAGAGAAGGCACCAGTGCACCTCAAGAATTGTCAGCACTGGGAGGTTCCTGAGTTCTGTATTAACTGGAGGATTCCCTTTGATAGTGTCTTGATACACTACTGAACTCTGTATATCTTCTCTAAAATTTGAATCCCTGAGGTGGAGAATTTGGTTGCCCCCAAACTAAGGTACCTGTATGCTCCATCCACTCATTGAGGCAGGCTGTTTGCATTAGCTAGTATTGAGCTGATGTACCATCCAGGTGTTGCCTATGAGCTAGACGTACACATGGGGAAGTGCTGGTTCCTGGCAGGCTACAGGCAGAAAACTGACATTAACTCATGGAAGCAGATTGGAAAACATGGGACTTAGCTTGATCACACACTGCCTTCCATTTCAGGTTTTCTCAGATCACTCATTCAGTAGACACTGTAGTGTGCATACTCTCCTGCTAGGTGGCCAGCTATCAGCTGTGATTCTAAGAAATAAGATCCCACCTCTGTGTTTGCTAATTTCTCACTGTGTCTGATACATAAACCATCCTAGATAGCCATATGCCCTTTAACTATCAGCTCCACGCTGCATAGAGTCCCCTGAGTAGGGATTTTTCCGTTGAGGTGTTTCCAAGATCAGACTGGCATGGTTGCAGGGGAGGGGAGTTAGTTGTTAGTTGATATTGGAAGGCCTAGACTACTGTGGGCAGCAGCATCCTTGGGTAAGTGGCTCTGAGTGTAGTAAGAAAGCTAGCTAAGCATGAGGCAGCAAACAGCATTTCCCTGTGGTTTCTGCTTCATGTTCCTGTGTGAGTCCCTGCCCTGACTTCCCTCAGTGATGGACTATGTCCCGGAAGTTTAAGCCAAATGAATCCCTTCCTTCCCTAAATTTTTTTCTTTGGTTGGAGTGCTTTTATCACAGCAACAGAAAGGAAATTAGAATACAATATATATGAACATCAAATATAGGTAGGATCCATTGTTTTGGTTTCAGGCATCCAATAGGGATCGTAGAACTGTACACACAGGGATATGTACCCTGGAATAATTCACTTCATCATCTCTTTAGTAGTGCTTAATATAATTAGAAAAACACAAACAATTGCAACTAGGTTGTATTTCATGTTGGCACCTAAGAAATTTGCACTGTTGTTCAAAAGCTTGATTATAGAGCAAACAGGTTTTATTCTTTAGTAGACTTTTAGACTGTTGAGGGCGTGAGGACTCCAGAAGTCATGTGGCCCGTGGCCCACTGCTCGTTTGCAATGTCAGACCTTTCCTTCTGTGCTCCTTCTCCTGTGTCTTTCCTCTTTGAAGTCACTAGGACACCATTCTCCACAAAATCAGTGGACTTTAAATGCCATTGAAGTCATACTAATTTGTGGAAAATCATTAAATTTTAAGGGATGTCCTGAGACAACTAATCATGACCACAAAGTATATGTGCAGCCATGTTTTCAGTGCTAGGAGCCTTGCACTGAGCTTTTACTTAGATGCTGGGGACCCAAACTCAGATCCTCATGCTCGTGTGGGAGGCACTTTCTTAACTTCGCCATCTTCCCACCCCCTCATATCTTTGCACTCCGCCTCATTTTCTAAAGAATATTCATCATTCTGATAGTTCACCCTACTTTCATTAACAGTCTAGAAACAAAACCTGTGAAAAGTGATTTCCTCACAGCCCCACAGCTAGAGCTGGGTTTCTCCCATGAGTTAAACAGTAGACTGCCTCCTCAACGGCATAAGAAGCCAAGAGACGATTTCCAGCCAGAATAGAACTATAATCACATTAGGTAGGAAAGTCAAAAGTTCATGGTCCTCGTCCTCTGTGTAGGAAGTTTGAAGCCAGACTGGGCTACAGGAAACTCAGTCTCAAAACAGAAGATGATGATAACGAGGAGGAGGCTGGGGTGGTTATGACTGTAATCAGATTTATCTATCACAACCACAGTAACTTTCCTGTGTGAAGAGTGGACTGCAGCGCAGATGCTGAGAAACATCGTAAGACAGGAAATCCAATACAACGATTTCTTTGATTGGGGTGAAAAATGGTGGTGTCTGGCACATAGGGTAGGATGGGAAATGGCGGAAAGATTTAAGATACATTGTGAATGTACAGTCACAAGACTTGTTCATGGATCGGAAATACCACCCATACTCATGCAAATGACCCTATTAAATATAGTTGAACATGGGCAGGAAAATAGGAGAGGAACTTTCAGGGAAGAATAGGTTCAGTACAGGGGAGTGGGGGAGGAATGAGAGGATCGTAGGGATGGACATGATCAAAGTGCACCTATATATGTGTAAAACTTAGACTGGCAGAACAAATTTGAAGACTCTTAGTACCTGGTTGACAAGAGGGCAAGTCTTAGTGAATACTCAGGTGAGGAGAGTCGGCTATAGAACAATGTAGAGCATGAGTGAAATAGTGTTTTTCTCAGGACGCTTGTCAGAGAGATCGTAGAGACCCTTCAAGGGGAGAGTTAAATGTGCAATGAGCTCAGAAGAAGACCAGGTTGGACGTCGAGGACATAAATGTGGCCCTTGTTAACGGAGGTCGTCGTCTTGTTGAGGTTATTAAGTCAGCCTGGAGAAGAATGCATAGGTTTTATAAACTGAGTGAAGACAGGCCTTTCAAGGAAGGAGAGACATGACTAAAGTCTGGAATAGGAATGACATGGACGAGTGGACTTGTTACCTCGCTGCCTAATCAAGTCACTTTTCTATGTTCGAGACCATATCAGGTCTTAGGTTTATTTTTTTTCCCCCTTCTTAGTGCTAGGGTTGAACTCAGAGCCTCATGCATAGTCAGCAAATGTTCTCCCATTGAATTTCATCACCAGCTTTTGTGTGTTCAGCAGAAATCATCTTTGTGAGTTTTCATGCTTTTATTTGTGAAAGATAAGACTTCACATATATAAATCTTACCATAGTTATATTGCTCCTGCATAATGAGCAACTAGTGTAAGACAGTCATGATCTCCTACAAAGCACTGCCTGCTGTCTGCTGGTCACATGGAAATAAGCCAGATGATCAGAACCAGTGTTTTAGAGGTGATTGTGTACCTTTCCCCTGCTGATTAGATTCCAACTACTTGGTACTCTGCTCATTTAAGATGGCACACAGCACCCACATAACCACAAGGCATGCTCTTTCTAGAGCTGTGCTATCCCCATCCATCACTCTTCCTCACAGTCTGCCATATAGGGTCTGTTGTAGACATCCTGACATCATTCGTTGGGATAACGAAGTTTGAAGCCAAGTGAGAAGCCTCAGAATGTTTCCAGTTCAAAGACCACAACACTGGAGCCATGACTAGGACCTAGAGTGCACAGTTTAAAAATTGACATGCCATGGTGCCAAAAGAGCTGACACTGTTCTAAAATTATCTTCTACAACAACAGACATTCTAATTTCCAGACTCATCGTTCTATATCACTAATAGTTGTCTCTGTGTCTCTTAAGTTCGACACCTATCTTTGTGTAATGGCATTGCATGCTTGGTCTCTCCACATACATGTGGCGTTCTGTGCACATTTTGAACAGAGAACTAAGGAAGTACTTGTAATCTGTGTCAGGAGCTTAACCTTTTTCAAGCACTGACTCTTCCTGTTTGTCCATTTCACAGAAACGACGATGCAGTCAATCAGATGGCCGTCGCTCCCTTCCCAGTGCCATCACATTCCCCATCGCCTGTTGAGGTAAGGTTGTAAGAAATGGATCTCAGTGCACTCGATGGATTTTTTATTTCCATAAAGCAGCTGGACTTTGATGTCCTCAGCACACTGCAGCAGTAATAGACACTTGTCAGGAGGAATGGCACTTGAACCTGTGGTGTGACATGGCCCTCTCCCTTTCCTTCTGGGCACTCAACCTCATGGATGGTGCTACTGACATTTTGAGGTGCTTCTGACTTTCCCCCTCAGTTTCTACTGCATAGATCAGTCATCTCTAGAAACGTCCTCACATGTACTCTGTGAGGTGTACACCCCACCCATGTCTGAGTCCAATCAAGATCAATCACCATTGAATCAGCAGTGATTCCACTTGCATTTTTTTTTATCTGTTTTGACCAGTTATTGTCAAATAAGCTACAAGTTAAAAAATTGTAGCAAGCCAAGCAGTGGTGGTGCACGCCTTTAATCCCAACACTTGGGAGGCAGAGGCAGGTGGATTTCTGAGTTCGAGGCCAGCCTGGTCTACCGAGTGAGTTCAGGACAGCCAGGGCTACACATAGAAACCCTGTCTCAAATAAATAAATAAATAAATAAATACAATAAACAAATACAAACAAAACAGCAAAATCAGTTTTTAAATGCTAATAAAATAATGACACTCTTTTGAATGACACCAAGTTACTTTTTCTGGCTAATTACTGATTTGGCAAGATAAGATATAAGAAAAAATCTTTAATATGTGACTAAATTATTTTTAATGGTGACATCATTTCTGTGATTAGCACAATTTTTAAAAATGAATTTCAATACCTATTAATATATACTATAAAGACTGAGTTAAAATTTACTAAATAACAGTTCATCTGTGCTGAGTGCTGCTCTGGGAATAACAACACTGCCTCAGTCTGGGGTCAAAGGCCATGAAAGTCATAGTGGCAGTACCTAGACAGGGCCTGGCACAGCTGCCAGCACCCTCAGTCACCTGTGGTGTGAAGCCCCGAGCTAGACGCTGCAGACACCAGCTGGCCAAGATCGCACTAAAGAAGGCATGTGGTTGATATTTACAGCCATTCCCAACAGAAGAAAACAAATGAAGCCATGTTGCTTTATATAGCTTAGGACAGTCTGTGGTCTCAGTCATCTACTGGGGTCTCAACATATTCTGCACATACATTATTTAATCTTAGCAATAAGGCAGAAGCTATTGTTACTATTATGCAAAAAAAAAAAAATGTGGGTCCAAGACTCCATGGCTCCTGGACAACTGCAGGATCTGAATTGGTAGTCTGGCTGTGGGGCCAGCCCTCTGCCAGATGTCTTCTATCTATTTCAAGTCTTTCCTCACCATTCTTACCTGATGCATGCCAGAGACTCTAATGCTACATCTCTAGAACCTTTGGGGTCTTACGTTAAAAAAACAAACAAACAAACAAACAAACAAACAAACAAACCCAAAACCTTAGTGTTAGCAAGACTGCTGAAATCATGACAATGAAGACAATGTTTATTGCTACAATTTTTTTTTTTTTTTTTTTGGTTTTTTGAGACAGGGCTTCTCTGTGTAGCCCTGGCTGTCCTGAACTCACTCGGTAGACCAGGCTGGCCTTGAACTCAGAAATCCGACTGCCCCTGCCTCCCAAGTGCTGGGATTAAAGGCGTGCGCCACCACCGCCCGGCTTGTTTTTTGTTTTTAAAGCATGATCTTACTCTGTAGCCTTGGCTAGTCTAGAACTCATACTCATATACAGACCAGACTGGAGGCTAGTCTCAAATTCACAGAGATCTGCCTGCCTCAGCCTCCCAAGTGCTGGGATCAAAAGTGAGTACACCTGGCCTGATTTTGCTTTTTAAATAAAGCACTCTGCTAATGTATATGAGGTAGAAATTTGCCACTTACAATTTTTAAGATCCTAATCACAATAGCTGAATGCAGTATCGTAGTGTCAGCATTTCAGTTGATGGAGAGTTAAGTCAAACGAGGTGCTTACATGAGTATAATGCTCCTCTCTCTCTCTCTCTCTCTCTCTCTCTCTCTCTCTCTCTCTCTCTCTCTTCTTTCTTTTAAGATTTATTTATTTTATGTATATGAACACACTGTTGATGTCCTCAGACATACCAAAAGAGGGCACCAGACCCCATTACAGATGGTTGTGAGCTACCATGTGGTTGCTGGGAATTGAACTCAGGACCTCTAGAAGAGGAGTCAGTGCTCTTAACTACTGAGCCATCTCTCCAGCCTCCCTCACCCACATGCCCCCACTTTTAAGAAGGCAGCTCCACAATTTCTTTTACAGTGTTGCCATTTGAATTATATTCTCTGCACTGGTGGCTCTAGTGACTGTCACCTCTGGAAAGGCACCCTCCTTTGGATGGGATGAAGTCTATGAGCTCTCGTCCCCATGCTGTTCTTGTTTGCCTACGTGCCAGTCACTCTGCCTTGATGTGTAGGTGGTTCTGTGGGCTTTTAAGCATAACTTATTAGGTGGATGACAAAAGGACCAGTTTAAACCATACACTATACATTAAGTACAGCCATGCCACTGTTAAGTTGAACCTGGCAACAGAAATTCAGCTTTTATTGTACGCTAGTGACGTCACACATTCCTCCCCTCATTTGAGAAATATTTATTAAGCTCTTATGTCTGGCCTAGTTCTAGCCAAGTTATTTTGGGCCATTAGGTGCCAGGAGAGTCAAAGAAAATTATACTAGCAGAATATTGAACCCGAGTGTGATGGTAATGTTGTGTGATGCTGGATTGTTTAATTTTTTTTCTACCAATTGCATGTTGGTCATGTGACCTTGGTAAAGGCAGTTAACCTCCCAAAGCCCGTCTTTCTCTGTGAAGCCTCTTCTAAGTCTATCAAAAGGGAATAACAAGAATCAAGTCCTAAGTTGGAAGAGTCCACACAGCTAGACACTTCCACGGCATTGTCAGCATTTCTATACACACCCTTGGCCTCGGAGAGACCATTACGGCATTGTGCAGCACAGTGTGCAGAACGCGCTCAGAAGTCAGGCGCAGTGCAATTGGAATCTTCATCCTGTTAGGATTAGCACTATGAAATGCTCACATTGTTCCTGGCATACACTGGGAGTTCATTGTGGTTGTGTTCACATTACCACAGCCTCAGCATACATTTCAGCTTCTGGAACCTTCCATCTTCAATGATTATGATGAGAACCTGAGTCCAATCCCTGAAACCATGTGGGAACCAAACATTTGCTCATATACACACAAATGAATAAAACAGATGTTTTTCAAAGAAGGGTTCCGTAATTGAGGAGGGAAACCCCATTTAGAAGTCACTGCAGTGATCCCATAAGAGATAAGGAGGGCTCAGATAGACCCAGGATGTTAGATATTCACGGAATCCCTCAATGAGGAGGTCTGGATCTTGTCTTTACAGCAGGAGCTTTTAATTCCCTTTTGCCCCAAGGCTGTGCTTTCTGAATAGCTGGTCAGAGGGAGTGCCAGCCTTGGAGAGCGGAGGAGATGGTTACACAGGATCAGCCATTACCATAATTTCCATTTTACCTTTAATTGTGCACTGCCTTTCTGGAATTCTGACTTATGTAACAGTAAAGATGTTCAGGATAACAGTTAGGAGAAAGAAATTCAGTTTGTCATATCTAGTAAACAGAATTTTCTTTTTCAAAAAGAAGTATTTGTGAACTTCTGCTGTGGTGAGAGTTAACAGCCCTGAGTGATGGTTTGAAAAAATGCATTGGATTTAGGAACACAGACATAACACTGTCTAAAACCACAGACATGAGTCTTATTTTTAAAAGAAAGAAAACTAAGCTGGGTGTGGTGACACATGTCTTTAATCCCAGCACTTAGGAGGCCAGCAAGCCAGTCAATGCTTAGTGACATCTCAAGTCAGAGGAAGACAGTTATTTCTATTGATGTATTCTTGTCCTGTTGGATGAGGGATCTTGTTAGACATGCCTTCTAAACCACAAGAACCCCTTTAGGCAGACTCAGTTCTCAAAGTAAAGTTTCTGCCCTTAAGATTCTTTCTATCCAGTTGGTAAGAAACTGGAAAAACTGTATATTGAAGAAAACAAAGTAACAGAAAAATAAACTAGCAAGCAAAGTATAACAGTGCATGCCCCAACCCCAGTACTTAAGGTGGACATGAGGGTTATCTATCCAATGACAGCCTGGGCCACATATGGAGACTCTCCCAAACAGTTTTTAATTAGGAGGCTGGGGAGTGACTCACTAAAGCACCTGCTGCACAGGCACAGGACGGGAGTTTAGATCTTAACACCACTGTAATAGCTGCATGTGGTAGAGCCTGTCTGTCACCACGGTGCTGCCCAGCCCAGCAAGCCAGCTGGTGAGCTCCTGGGTCGGTGCTTTCTTGCCTGTGTGCGTGCTCTTGCACACACACTCACACATTTTATAACTATTAAAAATTCATACACTGGAGGCTGGAGAGATGGTTCAGTGATTAAGAGCACTGACTGTTCTTCCAGAGGTCCTGAGTTCAAATCCCAGCAACAACATGGTGGCTCACAACCATCTGTAATAGGATCTGATGCCTTCTTCCGGTGTCACTGAAAAAGTGACAGTGTACTCACATACATAAAATAAATAAATAAATCTTTTTAAAAGAAATTTATACATTGTTCCTATCATGGTTTCTCCTTCCCCATCTTCACCCAGATCCTCCTCGCTCATCCAACTCCAGGGCTTCTCTCTCTATTTACAAAACAAACGGGCAAATAACAAAAAAAATTAAAATAAAAATAAATAAAAAGGAAACAAACCAAACCAGAAGGTAGGTAGGTAGATAGATAGATACATAGATAGGTAGGTAGATAGATAGATAGATAGATAGATAGATAGATAGATAGATAGATAGATGATAGCCAAAATAAGTCACAAAAACCACACACAGATACACAAACAAACAAACAAACAAACAACATCCAAACAGAAACCCAGGAACCATAACCATAATATATAAGCAAAGGACCACTGAGATTAAAAAAAAAACAAACTACAAAAATCACCATTGAGTTTGTTGTATGTTGGCCATGGGGCCTGTCCTTAAGTGTGGTTTATATACCCAGTTAGACTCCATCTGAGAAAATTAAATTTTTCCTTTGCAAGTGGTTGTCACTTGGAGACAGCCTCTGGGGCCGTCTGGCTTGAACCTGTGCAGGCCTCTGTGTGTTGCCACAGCCTCTGTGAGTTCATATGTGCGTCAGTCCTGTTGTGTCTGGAAGACACTGTGTCCTTCGTGTCACCGGCCCCTCTGGCTCTTACATTCTTTCTACTTCCTTTTCTTCATATATTCCTGAGCTTTGGTGAAGACAACACATTTAGGGCTGAGTGTTCCAAAGTCCCTCACTCTCTGTGTATTGTCGAGTTGGGTCTCTGTATTTGTTCCCATCTTCTGCAAGATGAGAGTCCCAGACCAGTGTGGCCCCATTCTTTTTTAGATGATGATGATGATGATGATGATAAAAGTTAAAACATTAAACTAAAAAAAAAAATCATCACCTTAATTTGGAGATTCCCAGGGAGCCCAAGAGAGAAAGGGAAGTTTAGAACTTTAGAAGGTGTGGGAAACTTGTCCTTAATAAGACGCACGCATGCTTGCACGCACACACGAAAACTCACACACTACTTTACCATCTTTGCCGTGTTGATGCACGCACTGCCTTTGTGTTTCCTCAACTGTGGACCTGACTTGCTTCTTCCTGGGGGAGTTGTTGTGAGCAGGCTAGGCCACGCCAGCCACATTTGAAGATCAGCAAGAGAGAAGTGGACACCTGCCCTTGGATAAACTGACTCACCCTGTCAGCAGCCACTTTCCTTCAGCCAGATGGTCCTCAGGCCGCCAGGGATGCCTGTTCCTTAGAGCCATGCTGCTGACCTCCTTCTCCTTCCTGTCTCTGACTGTTTGCCATGATTGGAGTTCTTGGCGAGTGGGGATTATAAAGGCTTCTCACTGTGCGAGCCATGTTGTCCTCACAGTGAAGTTACAATTTTGCTCTTGCGTTATTTAAGCACAGACACTCTTATAACCTTCAGCTTGTCTAGAAAAAGTAAGTACATGCCCTGTTTCAGCCATCCTCAGTTCCTCCGTTCCTTTTTCTTTTTTCTTTCTTTTTTCTTTTTTTTTTTTTTCCCAAGTCTCCTCTCCATCTGGATTTGGCCTTTGTATCCTCCTCAATGGAGGCATGTCCAGCTAAAAGCAGAAGAGAATGTGAAAAGGTAGACATCGTACAGCTTGCAGCATGGCCTTTGAAGTGAGGCAGACCCAGGAGGACTGAATACTTGCATCAGACAAAGGTCATGAAAGAAGCAGATGTTGGCATCAAAGGTTTTCAGTCTCGTCAGAGAGATTCCCGCATATATAATTAGGATGCAAAAGAGGTGCTAATGAATGGCGGAGGAGGGAGTGAGGCCCTCTAGAGAAACCAGAAATAGGAGCTGCAAGAGTGCTGGCAGAATAGTACTTTGTCTTCCAGAGAAGCTTCTTACAAAGCAATATGAAGTATAGCATAATAGGTCCGTACATCATTTTATCAGATAAGATGCATGTACATAATTGTATATACTGCACTTTTAGGTGATTCGTGGCACTGTGGTTTGTTTACACCATCGTTCCCATCAATGTGTGATGCATGTGCTAGTTTTTACATCAATGGAACAGGCTAGAGTCATTTGGGAGAAGAGACCTTTAATTGAGAAAATGTTCTCACCAGGTTGGTCTGAAGGCAAGCCTGCGGAGCATTTTGTTAGCGATTGATGTGAGGGGGCCCAGCTCACTGTGGGTAGTGCCATTCTGGACAGGTGGTCCTGGGGTGTGTGACAAACCAGGCTGAACAAGCCATGAGAAAGGCGGTAAGCAGTCCTCCTCCATGGCCTCTGCATCAGTCTGCCTCCAGGTTTCTGCCTTAAGAAACTCTGACTTTTGGTGATGGACTTTGACTGAGATGTGTAAGCATAGTAACTTTTGGATGGTATTTTATCACAGCACTAGAAGCCCTAAGACATATGGAAGGAATCTGCTTTGTGTATAGCCCATCATTTACTGAAACATTACATTGTGGTGAATGACAATACCCCAGTATTTGTTTCATTGGGAGCATTTGTTGTTTGTAGACAGTTCCATTACATAGGCTAGACAGCTCTCTGGAACTCCTCCAGTGGCCAGAGCTAGCAGCTTCTCTTCCTGGCTCATCCAGTCTTTCATCCTCCATCAGCGTCACCTTTCCAGCCTCTGTTTCCCCTTGTTCTGTCCTGGCTCCTCTTTTGAACAGTCCCTCCTTCAGCAGCAGGCAGCCTTTCCATTTCTGCAGCTCAGCCTGAGCCCACTAACCACTCTGGTGTCAGCTCCTGCTGCTTCTTCTTCTGGTGTCAGCTCAGTCCACAATACTAAAGATAGAAAAGACCTGAGGAAAGCCTCTTTACTACTGCAACACCAGGGACCCAGTATGCTTCCACTGTTCAGGCCCAGCACATGTCACACTTAAATAGTTTAGGGTTTGCTTCAAATCAGTGCATTCTCTTAGGTGTAGATGGGAGGTTGAGGGGAGAGACTCATATACAATTCACTAAGGCTTCTGATAGCCAAAGTCTGGCACAAACTTTTTGAAACTGAGGCAGTGTAGTGAGCCTTCTCTACACCAGCCATGGTGTTCAGCTGAGATCAACAATTCTAAGTGAGTGTTCTAGACTGTTGGTGCTGGCCTTTGTCCTTCCAGCTGTTTGACAGTTCTTGGACTCAAAGGATGTACCACCATCCAACTAGATGGTTTATGACTAGCTAAGCCATGAAAATGGATTCACAAAGAACCCGGTTGTTACACTGCTTGTTGGCACCAGCATCAAGTGGAAGCAGGATGAATTAGGAGAGTGAGTATGAGGCAGATATGGAGTGGAGCTTTTAACGGCAGACAACTGTGGTTTTAAGCAAGAGTCCTAAATGCAGCTGCACTTGTGAGACTCACCTGGTCACAGAACCAGCTGCTGTGTTCTGTAAGGCTGAGGCCCAATACTGGAGCCTTGGAAGGAGAACTGACAGGGAGCCTAATTTGTCATGCATAGTAGCAAGATGTTGGATGGGTGAATAACTCTAATGAAGACTCCATGGAATAAAGAGCACTGTCACCAGACATAGTGTTCAGAACTACAATCCATATATGTGGTGAGATAAACCTATTTGGATGTTTAACCAAAGATTGCTGCTCTCAGGGTTTTCAGCCCATTGCTTATACTGGGTGTAACTTGTACTGGATGACTTTCCCACACAGAATGTGTCTTTAATGCATTCTTATGCCAAGGCTTTATCCACATACAAGAAAAATAGAGAGAAGGGCATCAGACTAACTAACCCAGTGCTTAAATGTTTGTAGTACAGTTGAAGAACACAAGAAACTAAGAACACTTTAGTCAACCGATGCTTTGATTATTTGTAACCACATTTTGTGTGTGTGTGTGTGTGTGTGTGTGTGTGTGTGTGTGTGTGTTATCCTCTTTCATACCAGTATACATCAGGCTTTCTTGACTGTTTGTTTGTCCTGTGGTGACTGTTTGGTATGTTTCTATACTTGTTTTGTGCAGTTGTGGGAAAGCACCACTTAGAAAATTACTCACCTCATTGCTCACAGGACCTGCAGACCATCAGACCTGCACAGGATTGGGCCAGTCAGCATTTCATCACAAATCAGGAGTCAGGGGAAGGTCTGTAAGCCCCACCTCCCCTGAAGGGCTTTTAACAGTTAACCATCTTTGGAAAAGGAAGTGTCATTATCTTGTCCCTGTTCCAGTAAATAATCTCCCACCTGTGCTCAAGCACAAAACTCTCATAGAATTCAGTGGGTCACACCCCAAAAAGACAGAAAGTAGAAGGGGGACTTGTGACAAGAAAGGTTTCAGTGGAAGGGGAAATAGAAACCCAGGGTTAAAAACAACTAACATGTAGTATATAAATGAATAAAACTGGAACAGTAAAAGTTTTTTTTTCCTTGTGTTGGGTATTTTTGCTTTTGCTTTCTCAAGGTTTCTCTGTGTAGCCCTGGCTGTCTTGGAACTCACTCTGTAGACCAGGCTGACCTAGAACTCTGAGACCTGTCTCCATGGGGCTGGAATTAAAGGCATGCACCACCACTGCCTGGCCCAATGAAAGACATTTTAAAAAGAAAATCGGTATTGCTACAGAAGCCCATGACTTTAGAGTCTGTAAACTTAAGGAGGAGGGGCTCAGGGTTAATTTAATGTTTGTACTCTGAAGTCCAAGATAACAGCAGCAACCTAAAAATAGAATGTGAGTAAGCTGTTAGGTTTTTCTGTAAAATGTTCCCTATGTCTTACAAAAGTACAATTTGCTTCTTAGTAGAGATACCTAGGTCAAAGCTAAATCAACCTTTACTCATAAGTATTTAAAATTTGTTTACTTTGTATTCCATTTACTTAGTGTTGGGAGAGGTATCAGGAGACAAAGGGAGCTGGTTCTCTCCTTCCATCTAGGCAGTGCTAATTGTTTCTACTAACACACTGAACAGACATCTAATACTTCATATGCCTTTTGGACCCCTTACCAGAACTAGCAAAGGCCAGGGTTCAGGTTTCCGTTCCTGACAGATTGTTGACAAAAACAAGGGAACTGACCTGAGACTGCCATCCTGTGCCTGTAACAGAGAACAGGGACCAGCACTCCCAAGGAATACTAAAAGTAGGCAGCAGGAACCAATGCCTACTAAAGCAAATGGACAGAGATGGCTGTTGGCCTTCTCTTCCACAGGAACATGGCAGAATGGCTCCCTTGGAAACAGTGTCCACTGCAGTATTAGGAACTCTACACCCAAGCTGTTCACTACGTGTAGTCTGACACAGTGTGAATGAAGAATAACATCTTTCTGCTTGCCTTTTCTGTCCCATAGGATCTGGGTGGCACTGGGCCTCACTGTAGTGAGGAAGACAGCGGTGTGGATGCTAAACATCTGCCTGAACCAGAAAGCTCCAAACCGGTGAGAATCCTGCCTGTTCTTTATCCTAGCCCAGGGAGGGGTGCAGGTGGGGAGGGCTACAGGGCCTACATTTCCTACTGCCCTAGGAAGGACTGTTTGCCTGCCATCACAGTTGCTGGGTACCTTGAGCTCTGAGACAGGAAGAGCTTTCCACTCAGCAAGTGACAAGTTCTCACAGCACAGGGTCTCTCCCACCATGCTTGAACTGTGCTGTCCAGGACTAAAGTGGCAGCCAACCACTCTTTCAAATCCAGTTCAGCCCTGGGTATTTCCAGGAGGAAACGATTTCTTTGATTCCTAGTGAAAGCTACCTACTTGCCCACGGACTAGAACTTCATATTAGAGAAGTGGTAAGTCTCCCTCCGGGTGGATAGCACATCTTGTTGTTTGTCTACTTTGAACTAGGCTCCCTACTGTGTTCTGTATCCATGAGGGTGATGACCATTCCTTTATAAATAAGGACACAAAGTTAGTTTCCTTATATGGGTCAATAGCCAGTATATGTCCATGCCTTTTTTTCATAATGTTCCTTTCTGCATTGTAGACAATCACATCAAAGTTGGCTACAATTGTTACAAAGGAATGTGAGTTTTTTTTTCCTTGCGCTTCTGTGTTTTACAATGTCTTACAGAATCTCCAGAACTTCACCTCTTACATGAGTTTAAATATGGTTGTGGTATTATTTTACTTGAAGGAGTTTGAAAAGTCATCCATTTATTTATCATCCTCCAAATTTTAGAAAAACTAATGTATTGGGACTGGTGTAGATTGTATCTCAAACAAAGTGAATGAATCTGTTTGGGTATAAAGGGAAGGTTATTTCTAATTAAGGTTATATCTTCAGCAAGAAGAGAAATTGTAGCAAACTGCAGTTGGGCAGATCTCTCGGAACGCAAGGTCCCCAGTATCAAGAGGAGCAGTAATAACATTTGAGGACCCCTGTTCCTCTTCCAAAAGAGAGAATGCATGTCTTCATTGAAAGGCCATTTATTTAAGCACAAGTTAACTCTTTGGAGTTAATTTCTACCTTTCCTTTCTCAATTAGATGATGCATAGAATCCACTAGAAATGGTGAAGGAAATTTTAGAATATCAGAAAATGAAGAAGATGGAAAGGAAAAAAAATAAAGGGGAGAGTGAGACATACTAAGAGGGGCAGTCCAGTTATTCTTAGGTGAATCAGTATCTAAGAATAAACCCAGCACACAGGCATACATGTACACAGACATACATGTAGGCAAGCATGTGCACGTGCATGTGCACACACACACATACACACACAATTTTTTTTTTTTTTTGGTTTTTCGAGACAGGGTTTATCTGTATAACCCTGGCTGTCCTGGAACTCACTCTGTAGACCAGGCTAGCCTCGAACTCTCGAACTCAGAAATCCACCTGCCTCTGCCTCCCAAGTGCTGGGATTAAAGGCGTGCACCACCACCGCCTGGCATACACACACAATTTTAAAGTTAAGCTTAATACTTCATGTCTGTTAGGTTGTCTGAGAACTATCTCTCACTATTGGGGCCTAGGAGCAGAGTGGACTAAAACAGCATCTCTCTGCAGCCTACAGGAGAGCCTTGTTACCAAGGAAGGCTCTGTTACTATCAGACTCTTCGAGACATAAGAGAATGTCTCCCCTTCCTTCCCATTTCTTCTGGGGATTAAATTGGGGCTGCTACAAAAAAATTATGTTGCTTTTACACACTTTTTCTCTAATGTATCCACAGTGATACACATAGAAATGCATATAGATACACATAGTGCTCACATAGAAATGGGGCAAAGGTAGGGAATGTCCAGTCTATAAACTGATGACATGACTGCTCCATGGCATGGTTAAAGAAAAGATTTTTATTGTAGCTATTAGAGAGAGAACAGCCAGAGGCATCTGGGAGAGTCCAGAGTGGAGAGAGAATGACCCAGGCTGACTGGACATGGCCAGGGTTATCTGCAAGAGAGGGGAGAACAGCAGGGGATAGAGACTAGAGAGAGCATAGTGAGAGAAGCAGGAGCAAAGGGGAAAGAAGGAGCAAACATGATAATAATAAGTAATAGCAGGGCTATAGGGAGAATGAGTAGCTGGGGAGGGAGTCTAGGATAGAGGAGGAGGAGGTGAGAAGGGCAGGATGCTAACCTGGACTTTGAAATGTGTCATGGGTACTTCTGAGCCTGAGGAGCCTGGAGGCCAGCATAAGCTTTGATATGCCGACAGACTCCAAAAGTAGCCATATGTTCCTTCTGCCAGAGATTCCTTTTGGTAGATGGGAACCAACTTCACAAGTTCCTGCAGAATGGTGGCTTTTATCTGTCAGAAATCCTCCTATGGTCTAAGTTGAGCTCATTTCTAAATATTTCCACTGCCTTTGGGGGCTTGGGGAATTGGAATGTTATAGGTATGTACCATCATGCCTGGCTGTGTTTTTAAAGGGCTTGAGATGGATAAATGCTTATGCTAGGCTCCCATGTTTACAAGCTTGGTGGTTAGGTGGGGAGGGAGGGGTAGACTGAAGGGGGTGTGCTCATTGCTTTCTTATAGCTGACCTCTGTAATGGCTGCTGCCTTTGTGTCTCAGACCCTGTCATGGCTCATAGTTTTGTGCTTTCCTGTAAAGCTAATGTCCGTTTTCTGTCTTCTTAGCCATCTCCTCCTCTGTGCTGTGACTGATAACAAAATAATCCTAAGCAACCACCTTGCAATAAATAATAAAAAGATAACTAAGTTTAAACAATGGGAAAGAACGCTAATACTTCTCTAAAGATATACAAATAAAGGGTCAATGTGCAGAAGATGCTCAAGAGAAATACACTAGAGAAATGCAAGTCAGAGTTGTGAGATGTGACTTCACACATCAGAGCCATGGTGAGGTGTGGCTTTGTAGCTAGTAGAAAGTCTATCATCAACACAGCAGGTACTGTGGGGTGTGGAGGAGCTGGAACCCCCACATTAATTGCTGGCAGGATTGGGAAGGGGTACTAGATTCAAGGCATCTGACTCTGGCAGTAAGCAGACACTTGCCCTTGTATTGGCTGTATCACAATTATATTGAAATGTCTACTTTGATCAGAGCTAAGAACTAAAAGTCCTTGGTGCTCGCAGGTCATGTGAATGAAGGGCTCATTTAGGGACATCTGGATTGAGATTTGAAGATGTTGATAGAGTTATCTCTTAGTCTCTATGCGGGCATTAGTTCCCAGGCTGTCAAGATATATCTTTAGATGCCCAAGCCCCTTGCGTGAAATGGTGAAGTGTTTGCTATAACCTATACACATTCTCCCTTTTCTTTACATCTCTGGTTCACCTGTAATACCTAATACAGTATAGGTTGTTCTTATCCTGTTGGATATTACTGTTGTACTTACAGATTTGTACATACTGTTTATGGAATAATGACAAGCAGCCTATATGTGTTCAGTACAGATGCAGGGTTTGTTTCTGATGTGTGGGTGTTTAATATTGTCCATTTGTGGTGGCTGAATCGTAAATGTTCTGTGCTACGTAAGCACAAAAGGCTGACTGTGGTTGAGAATGGAGCAGAAAAGAAACAAAGAAGGGGCTGGAGAGATGGCTCAGCAGTCAAGAGTACACACTGCTCTTACAGAGGACCTGAGTTTGGGTCACAGCACTCATATTAGCCACCTAAAGGAGATCCAGTGTTTCTAGCCTCTCTAGGCTCCTGCGCTCATGTGCATATACCCCACCACACGCAGATACACACATACACATAATTGAAAAATAAAGTAAACTGAGAGAGAGAAAGAAGGTGATTATAGGTAGTCTTAGAGCCTTGGGTAGTCTGCTGAACTGAAAGTGTCCATCTGGTAAGATGCAAACATTTGAAGAAGTCAGCGAAAGCCAGGTCACATTACAAAGATGGTCCTTGAGCTGAGAACAAGAGAAGGTCTCAGAGGGCTACAGGGGCTGGCAGCAAATCCGTTGTAGCTGCTGTGTGGCGATCAGATGGCAGATGGGACAGTCCAGAGTGGACACTGACAGGCTGGGTAGGAGTCCGTGGCAGCAATGGCAGTGTTCAGGATATAGAATATGCAACAATACATATTCCTCTCAGTACAGCAGACACATGCACATCGAATGCGTTTGCCAGCAGCAAGGCTGGCATGTGTTTTCAGGAAAGGGCCACAGAGATGGCAGTAAAAAGACTCACCGTTCTTGGCTCATTGTGCAAGTCCTTTTCTGTTCCTTAAAGCCTTCCCCCACAGGTTTAGAGTGAGAGAAGTTGTGTTCATCTTCATCACAAGCCTTATCCCTAGGGCGTGGCCAACATCCCATGGTCACCCCACTCAAAATGACCCCAACAGATGTGCCCTGTATTCTTTCTCTGGTTTGTGAAGCTACATGGTACAGCTGTGTGCCAAGTGACACATGTCATTTCAACCTGATTCACATATAGCAGCCTCTGTGACATTTCCCACTGCTCACTTTTTTAAAGTTGTTTCAGGGGTTGGTTTTTTTCTTTCCATGCTGTCAGTGGCATTTGTTGCTATCCTCTGTTATAAAATATAATTCTGACCCTTAGCACAAGGACATACAAGAGGGAGAAATCCAGGTAGCTCAAGGTAGCGTCTAGCCTGGAGTTTCTTTGTGGTGATTTTAGAAACTATAGGATACAAAGCTCATGCCTGGGGAAACGGGAGCTGTTTCTGAAATTAACTTTCACTGACCTAAATAGTCTGGCATGAAAATTCAAGCAGAATCTGGCAACTTGTCTTACCATTTTCAGGGTTCCAGCCACTGGACTACCAAGATCTTAGGAGCACCCCACTCTCTGCCTTGAAATACCTGGTTCATTTAAGATTTGCAAACATAGTTCAGGGAAGATCAGTTTTAGATAGTGCCTTTATGTCATGATACTCAGGGAAGGTCAATTTTAAATAGTGCCTGTATATCAAGATACTCTAGTCAGACTTGCCTTTCCTAGGGTGAGGACCATCAGGTACAACCCAAGAGCCTAATTCTATAAAGACAATCTTCCTCTGCCAA